CCCGCTCGCGCTCCCGGAGCCCGCTGCCCCTGCCCGGGCTCGGGAACTTCTCCAGCCTCCCCGGCTCCATGGCCCGCGCCGCGACCCCTTCCGCCCCGCCCCACGTGGCCCGGGAGCCGCCGGAGCCATCTTTAGTGAGGGCAGAGTCGCACCTGCCCGCCGCGGCCTCGCTTCTGTCCTGGGGCCTAGCCAGAAAGCCCCGCCGCGGGGGCGAGGAGGGGGCTTGCTGAGCTGCCCCTGGCTGCGCGGGGGCTGGTCTCCCTGCAGCCCTGGCCGCTCTCAGGGTGGGTTTCCTTCCCCACTGACCTGGCAGAAAGCCCCTGAGGGCAGAGCAAAGATCTGTGGTACCTAGAGTAGTGATCATAGAATCATAGGACTGGAAGGGACCTCGAGAGGTCATCGAGTCCAGCCCCCCGCCCTCAAGGCAGGACCAAGCTCCGTCTACACCATCCCTGACAGATGTCTATCTAACCTGTTCTTAAATATCTCCAGAGAGGGAGATTCCACCACCTCCCTTGCCAATTTATTCCAATATTTGACCACCCTGACAGTTAGGAATTTTTTCCTAATGTCCAATCTAAACCTCCCCTGCTGCACTTTAAGCCCATTACTCCTTGTCCTGTCCTCAGAAACCAAGAGGAACAAATTTTCGCCTTCCTCCTTGTGACACCCTTTTAGATATTTGAAAACCGCTATCATGTCCCCCCTTAATCTTCTTTTTTCCAAACTAAACAAGCCCAGTTCATGAAGCCTGGCTTCATAGGTCATGTTCTCTAGACCTTTAATCATTCTTGTCGCTCTTCTCTGTACCCTTTCCAATTTCTCCACATCTTTCTTGAAATGTGGCGCCCAGAACTGGACACAGTACTCCAGCTGAGGCCTAACTAGTGCAGAGTAGAGTGGCAGAATGACTTCACGAGTTTTGCTTACAACACACCTGTTGATACAACCTAGAACCATATTTGCTTTTTTTGCAATAGCATCACACTGTTTTGCAACAGCATCACACTGTTACCACCTGGCTGGGAGGTTTTATGGATTTGCCAGTTGCTAGAAAAATCATTTCATCTGCTTAGGGAGATGGTTGTGAGGCTAAAGAGGATCCTTTAGCACCCTCCCTCTGCTTACACTACATTGATGGCATCATCATATGAACCCATGGGAAAGAGATCCTGGAAGAATTCCATAGGGATTTCAACAACTAACACCCCACCCACCCTGGATCAACCTTAGCCTGCAACAGTCCACACAAGAGATCCACTTCCTTGACAGTACAATAAAATGATGGCCACATGACTGCCACCCTATTCTTACCTATATGCTCTAGATTCCATCTAGGTCACAACACACAATCCATTGTTTACAGCCAAGCCCTAAAATACAACCAGATTTGCGCTCTCTCTCTCTCTCTCTCTCTCTCTCTCACACACACGCGCGCGCCGCCCCAGAGAAATGAAGAAACAAATTGACAGAAGCAGGCAGTTCCCAAGAATCTGCCTATCCAAGACAGACCCAACAAGAAAAATAACAGAACACCACTAGTCATCACCTATAGCCCCCCAGCTCAAACCCCTCCAGTGCATCAGAGACAATGGGAGACAGACCAATCCTTGTCTACAGACAACACCCTAATGTGAAGCAAATTCCTTCCAGCAGCCACACATCGCACCTCAGACACTCACCCAGGAACCTATCCCTGCAATAAACCCTGCAGCCAACTCTTCACATATCTATACAAGCCACCATCACAGCCTACTGAGACTTTGACACAGTGTCTTAAAACAACAAATCTATCTTAGGATCCTTTGAAAATCTACTACCTTAATGCTTATGTAAGATGCTGGATTAGTAGCTCAAGACAGAAGGCCCAAGCCACAAGGGCAGGTAGAGCCAAAGGCAATCTTTTGAGTTCTTCTGAGATTTTGAAGCCCTAGAAATATCCAGATAATTTAATCTTTTCTTGAGATATGGGGGTATAGGCACTTATTTAAGCAATAGGCTATATAACAGAGTTAATGTTTGTGTCTCTGTCTCAGAGGCAGCAAAGGGGGAGTAGGAGCCAGTGCTGAGGGAAGTCATCTTAAAAGCTGGTTCCCCCTGCACTGTCTCCACAGAGGGGCAGGGGAAGCAGAGGCACAGCAGGGGAAATGGCACAAGTGTGGACACAGTTCTCAAGCAGTCCCCACTCATGCCATATCCCAGCTGTGCCTCTGCCTCCCCTGACCTTCTTCAGAAATGGTGCTGGCTCCCGTTCAAGCAGTCCCCGCTTGTGCCGGGTCCCGACTGCTGCACCTCTGCCTTTTAAATGTAGTAAGAGTTGTAGGCAGTGGTCTAATACATTTAAAAGGCAGAGGTGCAGGATAGCAAGTTTTTCTCCCCCTTATGGAGTCAAAATTCCATCAACCATTTGCTCAATTAGCTGATTGATCAAAATTTAACATCCCTCGTGTGGAACTCTCCTTCACACTCTGCAGTGAAGACCAATACAAAGAATTATTTAGCTTCTCTGCAACAGCTTTTCTTCCTCAAATGCTTTTTTAGTACCTTAATCATCCTGTGGTCCCACTGATTGTTTCCCAAGCTTCCTGTTTTTGATATATTTAAAATATTTTTGCTGTTAGCTTTTGTTCTGTGGCCAGTGTGAAATGAATTCATGGTCTCAATCAAATTCCTAATAGATACACATGCATAACAAAAACTAATACACACTTGTAAGCAATCTTAGTTATCATTAGCAGGCAAAGGGAGAGTAAACTTCTATCTCGCTTTTCGAGGTGTCCCTCCAGAAAAAGGCAGAAGCACAGCACAGAGAAACTTGCACTGCTACTGTCTGACTACGTCTAGACTGCAAGCCTCTTTCGAAAGAAGCTTTTTTGAAAGATACTTTCAAAAAAGAACGTCTAGACTGCAACCAGTACTTTCGAAAAAGCAAGCCGCTTTTTCGAAAGAGAGCACCCAGGCAGTCTGGATGCTTTCTTTCAAAAAAGCACAGTTTGCATAACATAGCGCCTTTTTTCGAAAGAGCACTTTCGAAAAAAGGCATTATTCCTTGTGAAATGAGGAGTAGCACCGTCGAAAGAAAAGCCGCATTCTTTCAATTTAATTTCGAAAGAACGCGGCTGTAGTCTAGACGCAGGTGAAGTTTTTTTTGAAAAAAAGCCTACTTTTTTCGAAAAAAACCCTGCAGTCTAGACACAGCCTCTGTGCTGTGCCCAGAACAGACCTTAGTATTCTTGGCATTGCAAAAACATTTCTTCTCTTCCCAGGATTAAACATACTGGCTACGTCTACAATGGCCCCTTTTACGAAAGGGTTAAGCTAATTTTAAACTTCGTAATAGGGAAATCCGTAATAGGGAAATTCAAAGTAGGAATAAGAGATCCTCCGGAAAAGGGCTTTATTCCAGAGGATCGGGCCAGTCTAGACGCTTTTTTCCGGCTTTTCCCCAAGCCGGAAAAAAGCGGCGGACATCTTTATTTAAATCCCGCGGGGGATATTTAAATCCCCCGCGGATTTCCCTATTACGAAGTTTAAAATTAGCTTAACCCTTTCGTAAAAGGGGCCATTGTAGACGTAGCCAGTATGTTTAATCCTGCCACTCTGGTCACACCATTGTTCACAGGGCAAAGCTGAAACAGGGGAAGAGAAGTGGCATTACCTTTTCAAGCTTTGCCTACACGAGAAAGGAAGTTTGTGGTGGCTTGGTGCTAGCAGCAATTTGCGTGATACCTTTCCCACAGCCACAAATTGGACTTGGGTTTCTTCAGAAAGATACAGACTTAAGGCCATAGGTCTCAGAAGACCAACTTCAACCTACTCTAGACCACATGTTTCATGTTTAGAAATATGACAAACATTTAGCCCTAGCAATTGGTTTAAATTCTCAACGCTTCTCCAGTATGGAAAGGAATAGCAACTCTTCTCATCTAATCCCCCATGACCTAAGAAAAGATGAAACTGTCCTGGACCCACAGCCGTCCTGTCCAAAGAATGATTTATGGTGGCCTTTCTGGGCCCCTCACTTGGGGGGGGGCCCACAGTAGCTGCCCCAACCATCCTATGAACAGGATTATCCCCCATATTCATGTTAGCCTGTAAGGCCCAGGGCAGTCTGCAGGCTTACTTTGAGGACCTGGCATGAGGCAGCAGCAAGAGTCATGCTCCCTCCCGCACTCACTGCAGTGGCAGGAGCTGTGGGAAGCAGAGCAACAGGCAACCTGATCTACTCCATCCTCTCCCAGATGAGTTGCTCAGCCTCACCCTGGCAGTGGGAAGCAGAATGCACCGGGGCCCAAGATCTGTTGCTGACAACCTCTGCCAGCAGCAGGATTAGCCTCTGCTCCTGCACATGATTATACATGACACAGTGCTTAATTTGAAACATGTATGTAAACCTTTCCCCTTCCAATAAGTACATGTGCATAAATGTTTGCAAAATCAGAAACTTCCAAGAGTAGATACAGTTTTTTTGAGTGGATGCACTGTCATCAGTTATTGTATACCTCCTGTCTCTGCAGTCGATGTTGATCCACTACTCTGAAGTGAACACTTCCTATTGGATAACTTTGCACTGTATATTTGAAGGGAAAAAAAAGCAGCCTGAGGACTCTGAAACCTAGTGCTGATTTATAATAATCTCTCATACAGATTACTTTAGACAGACATTACATGCTGACCTTTCACAATTAGTTTTATAATTGACTTTTGTTCTCTCTCATTCCTCCTTGTCTCAGAACCATGAAGTATAACTTTATTTGGAGGGCAGCAATTAAGTTAACAGTCATATAATTTCTTACTAGCACTCAAATATTGTAACTACTTCATTGCCAACTCATATCCTAGATAATTACCATGAGATGAAAATCATCTCGCAAGATTGCAGACCAGCAGACATGAGTCAAGTATGTTACAAGGCATTTTTTTTTTTTATTTCTTCCAGACAATATTCTTCAAAGAGTTAGTGTTTCACTACTACTGTATGGGTGTCACTTTTTCCAAAACTCTTTCTTTCCTATTTTAGGGAAACATGTTAAATATTTTGAAATGTACCCACAAGTAAAGTAGTAAGATGTTGGATTTCTTGGCTGATCCCTTATCAGAGATCAGGTGTTAGAACTCTTCTGCATAAGGATGAACAGTAACTACTGATAATTCATACTAGGTGCCTACCCCTCTAGACTCTTAGCTCCAAGCAGATGTCTCTGTGGAAGTAGAACAAGAACATACACTTACATCTTTCAACAGAAAAAAATTCAGGACTCCCATTCAGCCATAAATAAAAAGGAAGGATGGTTACGCTCTTTGGACGTATTTGTAACCATGCTGAAGGTTGTGACTGATCTATGAACAAGAGCCTGGGACAGTGGCAATTCTAGGGACACCTCTAGGCAGGACCAGTCCTAACCAAGTAGTGACCCCAGGCAACTGTTGAGGAAAAAAAAAGGCCGAAATACAGTTGTGGACCCTTTAATTGCGTGTGTCCCGAACAGGCTTCTATCAGGCTCTGTCAGCAGCCCCTTGAAAATGGCAGCCCTGGGCGACTGCCTGGCTCGCTGACCCCTAAGATTGGCTCTGCCTCTAGGAACAGCCAACTTAGACTGAAGTTTGTATTGCTGTAATGCAGGGGTGGGGAACCTTTTTTTCTATCAGGGGCCATTCACACACGGGGGGAAAAAATCAGTGGTGGGCCACATACAGCTCTGCTTGTCGGGGGAGTAGGTGGAGCAAAAGCTCGGGGCTTCCCCTAGGTTCTAGGATTGGGACAGAAATGAGGGACTCAGCATGTGGGAGGGGATGCCAAACTGGAGCTGAAGGGGTGGGAGTGTGGGGGCAGGCTCAGGGCTAGGGTGGTGCATGGGGGATTTTGACATAGCAGAAGGTTGGCAATGCAGATAGGAGTGCAGGAGGGGGTTCCAGCTTGGGGCAAGGTACATCTACACTGCAGGGTTATTTCAGGATACCAGAGGTATCCCAAAATAGCTACCCCACATCTACCCCAGCCACCTGTTATTTCAAAACATTCTTCAAAATAACAGGTGTGCTATTTTGGCACCCAGCAACCCTTGTTCCACGAGGCTGAAGGGATATCTTGAAATAAGAGCATTATTTTGAAATCTGGTGCTGTGGAGATTTCAATAGGCTAATTGAAATAAGATACACAATTTACATAGCACAAATTGTGTATCTTATTTTGAGTTTAGGGTGCTGAGTAGATGCAGCCACAGGGATTTTGGCTACAGACATGGGCTCATAGCAGGGGCAGGTGGCAAGGGGCTCAGGGCTGGGGTTTGGGGTAGAGGAGTGGGGTCAGAATGTGGGCTCTGGCTGGGCACCACTAACCTCAGGCTCCTCCCCTGCCTTGGCCCTATGCCACTCCTCGAAGCTGCCATATGTCGTCAGGCTGTTCTGCATGATGGCCACACCTGAAGACACTGACCCTGCAGCTGCCATTGGCTGCAGTCCCTAGTTAATGGGTGCTCCCGTGGCAATCACACATGCACTTGGAGTTTCCCTGGGCATTTATGTCAGTGCCCCACCTCTTAGGGGCAGGGGGCAACAGAATTGCCAGACTCACGGATAAGATTGGGGAGGCTGGCCCTGCACTTCCAAGAGTGTGGGTCTGGGCAGAAGAAGCTGGGGCTAACTTCCCCCCACTAGCTCTTCAGCACCACCCAGGGCCACTACTGCAGCAGTAAGGAGCCGGGGGCCCTCTTGAACCACGGGGCCCCAGACCCATTGCTCCCTTTTCCCTCCTTCCCAGCAGTAGACCTGTGCAGAGGACAGCTGATGACCCTCACACCCTAGCTTCCCCAGTACTTGGAGATCCTGCCAGTCCTGCAGAGAATGGGTGGAGGTCATCAAGACCCAGGGCTTCTGGCCTACAGCTCTAATCTGGATAATATTGCCCTGCTCTGGATAAAATTAAGCAATGGGCCCCAGGTTCTCACCCCTCTCCTAAACCTAAATGATATGCATATGTAGCCTGTCCAAGAAGGTGAAACTTTACTGCTTTGTACCACATTTTTACATTTATGGAAGGTCACCAAACTCATCTGTCGCTCTAACACCTCATCAGACCATTAAAGGGCTAGTTCAGTAATGGATGAATTCCAAGGGGGACAGATACAGAAGGCAGTGGTTCTGCTCATTTAAAAAGGGGGTACTGCTAGTACTGAACTTTAACACTCCAGTTTAATTACCAACCATCAGAGGATTGTAAATTAGAGGTGCTGACCACTCCTAATGAGCATCCCTCCTAAAGTGTATTTTACAGTAGTATAGGCATTTATCCTGATTCTATTCTGCTTACCTAAGTTACCTCTAATGTCAGTTGGCAATATTCCAGGATGTATTCTCCAACAGCTGTTTTTTTTCACCAGTTGGTTGGAAAGCATAGAAGGGCATGTTTACCTTGAGCAATTATGGGTAGGCAACGAGACAATATGGGTTGCTGAATAAGATGCTAGCTGATACCGTAACTGGTAAATCTTAATTCCCGATCTACCATTGACTTGCTCTCCATCTTTGACAAACTGATTTAGGCCCAGATCCTCAGAGGGATTAAAATTAGAATTAGGTGCCTACCTTCCTTTAAGGATCAAGATCTCAAGTTTTTACTGTACATGGGAAAACTACTCTACAGTAATCTTACATTAAAGTTTGCAAAGCCCTTGATGTTCAAGGGAAGCTCAGCAATACCTCATCTATTATGAATAAATGTTTCAGAATTAAAAAAAGCACACACAGGTACATGTCACCTATATACCAAATACAGGCAGTCCTCGGGTTACGTACAAGATAGGGACTGTAGGTTTGCTCTTAAGTTGAATCTGTATGTAAGTCGGAACTGGCGTCCAGATTCAGCCACTGCTGAAAGTTCAAGGGAAGCTCAGCAATACCTCATCTATTATGAATAAATGTTTCAGAATTAAAAAAAGCACACACAGGTACATGTCACCTATATACCAAATACAGGCAGTCCTCGGGTTACGTACAAGATAGGGACTGTAGGTTTGCTCTTAAGTTGAATCTGTATGTAAGTCGGAACTGGCGTCCAGATTCAGCCACTGCTGAAACTGACCGCCAGTTCTGCCTTACATACAGATTCAACTTAAGAACCCCAAGCGTCCCCAAGTCAGCTGCTGCTGTAAACGATCACGCG